ATTGTTATTATCTATTTTTGCCGTCACAATATGGCCCCAGAGCCCACACTGGGAGCAGGAATAATTCAATCTATTGCTTCTATCCCAGCGACCACCATTGGAGCTAAACAGGTTCCAGGTCAAAGGTGACCTCCTAGCCAGCATCACAGAACAAAGCCTGCCCTACAGAACCGGAATCACCAACACAGATTTGGCTATTCGCTATGTCCGAGAGAGTCTCTTGTTCCGAGAAGTAAGTTTGTAATTATTTGTATTGTCAAATAACTTTTTCTTCTACGGCATTGCAGCCTCAAATTTGTCTACCTATGACACTGATTCAAAGACCTATTTTGGGGAAAAAAAAGGGGAGGGGGAAGGGGGTTGCAAATCCGACACGAGCAAATCCCAGCCACGGTGTGTATTCGTATAAAGCTGTTGTATGTGTGACAATGTGGTCGAAAAGTGATCTGTTGTTCTAGGGTTGCTCGGCTGAGTGGACAAAGTATTTATTGTGGTGCCTCATGTAAATCTCATCAACACTGTCAACGTCATTATCATCACCATCACATCGTCATCTTCACCATAATCATTACCGCCATCATCACCATTATCACCCCCATCCTCACCATCATCATCATCATCATCATCACCATCATCAGTTTAATTATCATCCCCATCATCACCAACATCATCCCTATCATTTTCATCACCATTATTGCCATCATCATCACCATCATCATAAACATTATCCTCATCATCAATATCATAATCATCCACATCATCATAATCACTATCATTATTATCATCCTCATCACCATCATTGTCATCACTATCATTGTTATCACCATCATTGTCGTCACCATATCACCATCATCATAATCACTATCATTACTATCATCATCATCACCATCATAATCATCCACATCATCATAACCATCATCTCCATCATCATAACCACCATCATTTCCATCATCATCATCACCATCATTGTCATCACTATCCTAACCATCATCCTCACCATCATCATCATCAACATCACCATCATTATCATCACTATCATCATCATCATCACTATCATCATAACCACCATAGTCACCATCATCATCACCATCATTATCACAATTATCCTCACCATCATCAGCACAATTATCATCACCATCATTATCATCACTATCATCACCATCATTACCATCACCACAATCATCCTCACCATCATCATCACCATCATCGTCACCATCATCCTCACCATCATCCTCACCATTATCATCACCATCATTATCATCCCTATCATCACCAGCATCATCATCACCATCATCATCATAATCATCACTATCATCATCATCATCATCACCATCATCATCAGAATCATCCTTACCATCTTCATCACCATCATTATCATCACTATTATCACTATCATCACCATCATCGTCATCATTACCATCATCATCATCACCATCATCATCACCGCCATCCTCACCATCATCATCACAATTTTCCTCACCATCATCATCACCATCATCATCACCATCATCATCATCACCACCATCATCACCATTATTATCACCATCATTATCACAATCATCATCACAGTTATCATCACCACCATCAGCACCATCATTATCATCACTATCATCACCATCACTATCATAACCACCATCATTACTACCATCATCATCATCATCAAAATCATCATCACCATCATTATCATTCATCACCATCATCACCGCTTGTTAGGGCCTTTACACATCATAGAGGGTCCATAACTGATTCCTTCCTTTCGTTCCTTCTTCTTTTTTTTTCTTTTCTTGAAGTAGATTATCTATATCTGCAATGTTGTCTCTGGTAGGAACTTCACTGTCTTTTGTATTTCCCTCGCAGAGTCGTAAAGTATCGTTCCATTTTGTGCAATAATTTCGATAGCTTTTTAAAATTTTTGTTTTTGTTATTATAAAACCAATGAAATCCCCATGTCACTCTCTTCAACATACCACGCAAGGTTGTTTTTTTCGGACGTCCTTGCTTTTTTAATCAATTTGTTTCACATTTCAGTATCTGGTTTGCGATTCTTTACCAGCACCCAGGAGTTTGTTATCTTTCATCATTTTTTATGGCAGTGGTGGTCCAAGCCTTTCTCTCATCTATTCGCCTTTTTTTTTTATTCCTCCCACGAACACGTCATAATTTACTCAAACCTTTTTTTAATTTTATTTCGAATGCATTTTATCTCGCTGTATATCTTTAATGAATTCTCTGAGGTTTATATGCATATTTTTAGAACTGAAATATTATTAGATAAGAAAATAAGTTACTTGTTATTTTCGCTGCAGTGATAGTTGAATCACATGTAATATCCTTACGTCCTTTTAAGGACGTAATTTTTTGTTATTTGAAGCCCCACTCTGGCTTTTGCCAGGGGCCGCAATATAGGCAGGCCATAAATATGGCCAATTGTCTGAACGCGGTTTCTGGGACCTCTCCACGGCGATCCTCATTCGCATGGTGGCACTTTGTGTCATCGGGTGTTTATCGCTTGTGTGATGTCCTAGTGGGGTAGAAAGACAGTCAGTCAGTCAGTGATAGTTGTATCGCTTTGTGCCAGAAAAAGAAACATTTTGTTACTACGTGAGATTGTACTCCACATGGTGGCCGCGAATCCCACTGTGTGAAACGTCAGCACCATCACTCAGCAAATCCTTTACAGAAAGTCGTTCTTACTGAACATTTACAAGTCTTTTCAACTTTTCTTGACGGGAGACCATCTTGCTAACATACAAATGATTACATGACCTCAGTTTTTTTTTTTTTTTTTTTTTTTTTTTTTTTTTTTTTTTTTTTTTTTTTTTAAGGGAAATAATAAAAATAAAATAAGGGCTAGTCGCAGGGGCTGTGCCCCAACCAGAGGTTGCTGCATCTTCGCCCCTAATTTTTGACTGCACAACGAGCAACAAACACCCGGTGTCACAAAATGCCACCATTCGGATGAGAATCGCCCAAGCTCGTCTCAGAAACCCCTTTAAACCGTTAGGTTATATTAGGGTCTCCGACGACAGCTGCGGTGAGGCTGTAAAATAATACTATCATCCATTAATGCCACACATTTTGTAATTTTTGTAAATAATATTACGGACTTCTTAAATTTGTTATGTGGACCCATCCCTCTTCCACTCCGGAGCCAGTAGTCCGCCAAGTAGCAGCTACAGATATAGACGAGCATTGTTTTCTTAGTAAAGTGAAGAAAAAGAAACGATTCCACTAATTCAGGCGTAGTGGGCACATATGGCTTGATTTATATTTTAGAGATAGCCAATCTGCACTCGGTGGGTGATGTGGTCAGCATCGCGGTGGCCGCTCTATGACTTTTACCTTGAACCAATTTGAGGCTGATTAACTTAAGAGTCGAGGTCATATTTAGAAGTAATAAAATCCAGTTCAGTTTGGATTTGAACGCACGACTTTCAGTAGGCGAGAGTATAACCACTAGACCACGCCAGCTCCCTAGATTCCACTGTAACACTTTCGTAACCAAACCCGTCTTATACTTAAAGGGTGTCACCAAGGTCATAGTTGTGGTCACGGACGGTGTGTCAAGGTCACCTGGCAGCACTGCCAGAGAGGCAGATCTAGCTCGGGAGCAAGGCTTCTACGTCTTTGTCGTCGGTGTCGGCCAGTACCAGGATGAGCGGGAATGGCAGAACATCGCCAGCGACCCTGATGACCAGTTCGTCTTCAACGTGACCAATTTTAGAAACCTTGAGCAAGTAAAGTACACGCTGCCCAGCAGAATCTGCAATCTACCACCACTGCAAGTAACCAGACGTAAGTTATCTTCATTGGTTTGTTATCAGTTACACTTTCAGACGTTTGCAAACTCCCTGTGTGTGTTCTGGGATCCACTAGTTGTTGCGGGGAGGGGTAGGGGAGAGGGGTTAATGGGGTCACTGCTGCGCAACAAGCATGTCGTAAAATAAAAGATCGACCTATTATGGATTTGCCGAAATCCGATGTGTTGGACCAAAAGGTGCAAATGTCATAGCGCGACTACACAATGTGCCAACTGTCATTTGATCGCGAATAGAGAAGAGGAAGTTGGCAACATTACATATTTTTTCTAATAATTACAATCATGCCCAGCATAAACAGTTACCTGTTCTAGATATCTTGACTTAACTATATTCCTTCACTGATAAGTTAAAACCTCGCCCCAATTTGACAATAGTCGGTTGCCTTAATATAACCTAACGGTTAAACGGGGTTTCTGAGAATTGTGCCCTGGCGATTCTCATCCGAATAGTGATCCTTTGTGTCACCGGGTGTTTATCGCTCGTTGTGTGGTCCTGGTGCGGTTGAACGTTACTTATTTATACTGTCAGGAAAAGTAGTTTGCAAGTATGACCTGTTTCGTGGGCAGCCATGATTGCACAGTGGCTAGACGTTCACCTACCATATCCAAGCTCTCGGGTTTGTATCCGCATGAGAGTGGATTTTTATTACTGATCCAGGACTTTCAGGTCAACCCAACCTAAAATGTAATCCTAGAAATTTCCTGGGAGGTGGGGGCGGCCGGTGTGTTATTGCCATATCATCCAAACAAGATCGACTGGTCTATAACAGTGGTCTAGAAACTGAGAGCTCTCTCCCCCCCCCCCCTTTTTCCCCCTTCAGGGCGGAGGAGGGGGCAAGCAGTTTTGAAATGGAGTTCATTTGTACTTGTAATATTCTGGAGTTTCAGCTTTAACAGTTATGAAAACATTTGTACTTATAATATTTCGGAGTTTCAGCTTTAACAGTCATGAAAACAAAAAAGCGTTGCTCTCTTGATGTGGAGAGTGAACACCTCCATCGTACATTGTTGAAATCAGACCCAAAAAATATCAGAGATTATCAAGGGAAATAGTGTCAAACATCATATTGATATTTAAACACAAAATTACCAATTTGTTGGCGATTGTTTCTTTTGTTATTTGACACTGTGTTTTGTGTGGACGTTCTTCTCCAAGTTCTTGCTAACGGTGTTTGGGAATGTTTCTTTTCTTCCTCCTATTTGCATTTATATTTGGTTGTGTTGTGGGAGAAAAACGGGGCGGGTGGGGGTGAGGGAGGGTCTTGCCACATATACTCAGGGAAGGGTGGGGGGGGGGGGGGGGTTCCACTTAAAAAAAAGGTTGGAGACCACTAGTCTATAAAGACGTGGGTCTAGCACTATCTTTCCGATGAGTGATTCTGGTGATCGTATGGGATAACGAAATAGGACGCTATGCGCTTATCCATTTGGCTCATGATGATTATTTTAACAACAACAACAACAAAAGACTGCCACTGCTAACGGTATATACTATTTTTGCGGTGTAGGCACGGGGAAAAGAGGGAGGAGGGGCGGAGGGTTTTTGAGCCTGAGGATTTAGGGTTACATGACTAGGGCGGTCGCCACGGTCTGTGCAGATTTGGATTTTATTTTGCCCCGATATTTAAAAAAAAAAATTTATTACTGAGGATTCGAGCCTGGATTACTTGCATAAGAGCCCAGTATTCTCAACCATTAGCCCAGCCGCTCCTCGTGAGGATATTGACCTTACTTAATTGCTTCAGTCGTTCTCCATATGTCCATCCATCAGTACTGATGTGACAATACTAGCTCTTCTCTATCTTCCCACTTCAAGGGTGCAACATTGCCAGGAATGCCGAAGTTTACTTTGTAGCTGGACCCTCTGGAACCCAGGATGCCGTTCAAGTGATCGATCGGTTTGTGGAATCAGCTACGGACAACAACAACCAGCTGCGGGTCAGCTATCTCCTGAGCATCTGCAACAACGCCGAGAATGTGCCACTGTCGAGCCTCAACAACTACTGCGACAGGTAGGCCATGTCTGCTAATTGTCAAAATTCTAGACATTAATTCATTATAGTTGTTTTGATTATAGCTACAGAGTTCAGATCCGGTACGCAAATAAGACAAGAGACCAAGCAAAACAATGTGGCCAGTTTTATAAGAAAGGCCCGCTGGAACTACATCAGCCAGACACTCAGAATAGATAAAACCAGACACTGCCACCAAGTCCTCATATGGAAACCGGAAGGGAAGAGAAAACGGGAAAGACCAAGAAAAACCTGCGTAGAACAATCACCAGAGAAGGCTCAGCTATGGGCCTAATGAGCATCCAAAACGTAAAACAGGTGTCAAAGACCCGCCAGACACGGAGAGCTATGACCTCTGCCCTATGCACCTACCTAGGCTCAAGACGAAAGACTAACTAATTATCGTGGTCAAGTAAACATTTTTATAGTTGTGAGTCCGTGCTGAACCAGTTGTAATTGTAACTAAGTGGTTTATAATAATTGTTACATGTATAAGTCATACTAACTGTGGGGGTTATAATTGTATTTTTGCCCCGATAGAAAAACCCACCCATTGTTCCTAAATGTTCGGTCAGCCGTTTATCTCGGTAAAACATGCTTTTTAAATAATGTTTTCTAACCCCTGTCATGAAATCTGTCGATTACTTGCTAATGTTTAGTATAACATTACAAAAAATTGTTTAATACTAATTACACTTATAACATTAATCCATGTTTAGTATCAATGATTGTTTCCAAGATACCAGGCCCCACCACCAGCAAACGTGGACACCTATGTCTTGCTGTTGTCCAGATTAAGAACCATAGCCAGCCAGTCACGCAGAGGCCAGAAGCAGGTGGCAGTTCTTTTCCTCGACGAGGAAAGTCTTCGATTGAACAGGTTGGTAATCTGGTCATCTTAGTTTCAGTTTCATAGCCAAAGGGTCAACCCCATCCCATAGCAAAGGGGTCAACCCTATCCCATAGTTGCTGCGCTCCTGAGCCAACAAAAAAACACACAGAATGTCCATCAATGTTCCTTGTGAAAAAATTGACACAAGCTGTAGTCTCAGCAAATCCACTAGCATACACACGCATTAGACGCATAAGACAGCCATCAGAAGTGCTAACACAAACAGTCCGTCATTAGAAATGTCGGTTGCCGAAATGAACAGGTTGCTACGATGTCCTAACAGTTAGTTAACACGGGGCAGATGGATGGAGCACCGTTGATCGATTAGTTTCTTCTGTCTAGGCCGCTGTCTAAACGCCTACCATACGATCCTGAATTTATTTATTTTTAAATTCCATTCTGGGCCGCGGACCAATAGGGCAGATCCCAGGTACCCTGTTCAATCTGCTAAGAAGTTATATTTAGGGCACCAGGTGTATGCAGTCCTATGTTGGTAAGGACGATCGATGGAACGATAAACAATTAACTTATCGCACTACTCCGATCAAAGTCCTAAAAAGCAACAGTTTCTGATTATCTATTGCAGGAATGGTCTGATCAACGAGGCAAGAAACATCGGGCAGCGGGACAATGTTGACATCATCGTGGTGGACCTGGCCACGCGAGGTTACGGAAACGTTATCCAGAACATCGCCTCTTACAGGGACAATGTGATCACATTCGGACCGGGCGGCGTGGCCTCACAGAGACCAGTGCTGAACTCATTCCTGGAGAGAGCTTGTACAGGTAAGAGAAACTCTCTGGAAATCAACTATTTCCTTTTTTTCTGTTTTCTTCTGTACAATGATAACTCTTAGCTCGACTCAGTCTTAAAAGGTACCTGGTAAAGTCCTGGGAAGTAAAGGTGGTCGGAGTGATGTTGATCATATCATCCACCGAGTGCCGATTGGTGCATAAAATATATGTTTAACCCTGTACGCCCAATGTGCCTGAACGAGTGGAAAATTATCCTTTACTTTACATACAATGCTAACTCAAGGCATACACCATTGACCGTGCACCCGATTCGACATATTACCGTGCACCCCATTCGACATACTGTTTAAAAAAGCTGCTTCTATATTAGGCATTAAAATCTAATTATTTGTTTGTTATTTTTTCCTTACCCTTTTCTGCTTCTGCGATATAAATTCAACGCTCACACATTTAACCTACAGCACAGTAAACAACTCATTTAACCAATTACTCCTTCAATGCCCACACGATCCAACGAAAACCCCACTGGATGCATACCCAAAGAAATGGACAGAGGACATTATAAGTTACTTTAAGAAATGGACAAATATTATAAGTCACCAAAAGAAATAGACACATAACATAAGCGATTATAAGAAATGGATAGAGAATATTATAAGTCACTATAAGAAATGGACAAATAATATTATAAGCGACTATAAGAAATTAATGATCATCATCATCATCAGGTGCCTTGCCGACTGGCGTGGGCGATCATGCCTCTCCATAATCCGCGATCTCCTGCAGCATGTATCAGTTCGTGTGCCGACACACCTCCATGCCATGCAACAAGACTGTCAAGCATCTTCTCTCGTTGTCTTCCTCTATCCCTCCTTCCACAGATCTTTCCAGTGGTCACAACATGTTCTATTTTCCCTCTTCTCATAACATGGCCGAAAAATGATGACTGTCTCCCTCTGATGTCAGTGATAAGTTGTCTTCGGTCTCCCGCCTCTTTCAAAACCTCTTGGTTGCTCTTTTTGGCTGTCGAAGGTATTCTAAGCATTCTTCTGTAAAACCACATCTCTGAGGCCTCTAAAAATTGTTTGGCCTGCCTACCGATTGTCCAGGATTCACATCCATATGTTAAAACTGGATGTATGTAGCAAGCAAGAATTCTTGTTCTAACTCTCAATGACAAGGATATATTGCACAAGATGTTTTTCATTTTATAAAATGCAGTTTTTGCCTGTCCAATTCTGTTTCTTATTTCAGTTATGCATCTTCCATCTGATGTTATCCATGTGCCCAGATACATACATTTCTGTACTTGTCCCAATATAACACCATTGACTTTTATTACACATTTAGGAATAATTTGTTTCTTTGATACCACCTTTACTTCTGTCTTCCCATTATTCAAACTGAGGCCCATTCTTCCACTTTCTAACACCACAATGTCTATCATTTCCTGTAATTCTTTCTGACTTGTTGCTATCAAGACTGTGTCATCAGCATAACGTAAATTGTTTATATTGTGCCCACCAACCACGATTCCGGGCATATCAATTAAAGATCTCATAATATTTTCACTGTATATTGAAAACAAATCAGGTGAAAGTACACATCCTTGTCGTACGCCCCTCTTTATGCTTTGAAATGTACCTAAACAGTTGTTAATTCTTATAGCTGCTGTTTGCTGCCAATACATATTCTTTATTATTCTTAGATCTTTCCCATCAATGTTTAATTTTTCTAACAGTTTGATTACTTCTTCATGCTTCACACAGTCAAATGCTTTTGTATAGTCTATGAAGCATAAGTACAAATCAGTCTTTACTTCTATAGCTCTTTCTGACAATGTCCTTAGGATGTATATGGCATTGTTTGTACCTTTTACTTCTACAAATCCACATTGTTCATCGCTGATTTCTGGTTTAATTTTGTTTCTTATTCTTCTCATAATTATTCTCAGTAAAATCTTAGTCATGTGACTCATAAGACTTATTGTGCGATGGTCTTCACATTTTAAAGTGCCTGGTTTCTTCGGCAGAGCTAAAAATATGGATTTTAAAAGGTTATTTGGAATATACCCACTGTTATAAATATCATTTAAAAGTTTAGTTATTATTTCAATTCCAAAATTTCCCAGTGCTTCGATTTCTTCCAGTGAGATGTTGTCTGGCCCGGGTGCTTTTCCTTTCTTCATATGATGTATTGCATCCTCAACTTCTGCAGTCATTATTGGTGGACCATCATTGTTGTTCTGCAGTTCTACGTCTGGTCTATTTTCATCATACAATTCCCCTATATACTCTGTCCATCTGTTAATTATATTACTATGTCCCATTAATAAGTCACCATCCTTTGATATCAAACATCCAGTGCTGTTACGTGTCATCTTTCCTGTTAACATATTTATCTGTTGGTACATGGAATGTGAGTCTTTCCCGTGATTTTCCCCAATCTCTGTACACATTTGATTCAGCCAGGCTTCTTTAGCCACTTTGCATTTGTTCACTATTTCTTTTTGTATTCTAGAGTATTCTTCTTTATCATTCTTTTTCTTCCTTCTTTCATCCATCAACTGCAGAATTTCGGTTGACATCCATTTCTTTTTGCAACTATATGGGTTGGTGGGATTGTCTCTTTTGATGTCTGCTGAACTGACTCACGCAACATATCCCACTGTTCATCAATTGTTTGTATAATTTCCATTGCATTATACCGGTTTTGTACAGTGACGTTGTACTGTTCCTTAATTTCTTTATCCGTTCTAAGAATTCCTAAATTTAACTTGATGTTCTGTGGTGTTTTTCTAATGTTCTTTAGTTTTATTCTAATTTTTCCTACAACTGGAACATGGTCACTAAAGCAGTCTGCCCCTGGTCTAGTTTTAGCTCCAACTAAGCTGCTCTGAAATCTTCTTGAAATCAAAATATAATCAATCTGATTGCGGACATTATCACCAGGACTTTTCCAAGTCCACAATCTTCGAGGATGGTGTTTAAACCAGGTGTTACCTATTATCATGCTGCGCGACTCAGCCCATGCTATTAATCTGTCACCTCTCACATTCTTTTCTCCTAGTCCATATCCACCCGTTATTCCGTACACTTTTTCACTTCCTACTTTTGCGTTGAAATCTCCAAGTACCATTGTTACTTCACAATTTTTGCATTTATCAACAGCCATGTCTAACTCATCATAAAATGCGTCAATGTCTTCCTCTGAACTATCTGCTGTTGGGGCATAAATCTGTACTAAGTTGATGTCAAACGGTCTGCCGCGAAGTTTTACTAATAGTACTCTATCTGATATTGTCCAAAATCCTTTAACAGTTTTTGAGTTTTTTTGGATCCAAAATAATACCAACTCCCTTGCTATATTCTTTCCCTCCCGAGTAGATAATTCTGTGCTGATCTGAATACTTTTCCCCTGCTCCTGGCCATCTCATTTCACTAATTCCTAGTATGTTGATGTTCATTCTCTTCATTTCCATCTTGATGTTATCCAGTTTTCCGATTTGCACGAGTGTTCTGACATTCCATGTACCAATGTTCATGATGTTTCTACCATTTACTTTTTCTACAGTAGCTGGATGACGGTCGGGTATCACCCGTAGAACATGATGCTCCCTACCGGACGAGGTGATTCCACCGGAATCCCCATTCACGTCGTTATCTGAATACGTATTATTTTGAGGCATGATTTTCTTGGGATAGTACAGCGGTGGTTTCCCCTTGCCTTCCGCCGGTTTGTATATGGTTTGACTCCAATAGCCTTTGTCTAAAAAGACTTACCCTGCAAGGCAGCAGGGGGGAGAGGTTATGGCGCCTCTTACCCGCCGATGGCCATGTCGTAGAGTTTTGAGGTATTTTATAGAGTTAGCTGTCCCACCAACTAACTCGCCTCCTCTCAATGACCATCACCTGTTTTGGTCCACGGCCACTTATTCAATATATTCGTGGCTAACCTCTATATCTAGAGGCCTTTCCACCATCCGCCACCTGGTGGACGCGCCTAGTAGTAGGACAGGCTCCTACCCCAGGGAAATGGACATATAACATTATAAACAACTATAATGAAATGGACATATAACATTATAAACAACTATAAGAAATAGATAAAGAACATTATAAGTGATTATAAGAAATGGACAGATAACGTTATAAGCGACTATAAGAAATGGTTAAAGAACATTATAATTGACTATAAGAAATGGACAGATAATATTATAAGCGAATATATGAAATGGATAGAGAATATTATAAATGAGTATAGGAAATGGACAGAAAACATTATAAGCGAATATAAGAAATGGGCAGAGAACATTATAAGTAACTATAAGAAATAGACAGAGAACATTATAAGCGTCTACAAGAAATGGGCAGATAACATTATAGGTGACTATAAGAAATAGACAAAATATTATAAGTGACTATAAGAAATGGACAGATAACATTACAGGTGACTATAAAAAATAGACAAAATATTATAAGTGACTATAAGAAATGGACAGATAACATTATAAGTGACTATAAGAAAAAGACAAAATATTATAAGTGACTATAAGAAATGGACAGATAACATTATAAGTGACTATGAGAAATGGACAGACATTATAAGTGACTTTAATTAATGGATAGAGAACATTACTTGTCTTTGCCTACTTTAATATCAAAATCTCTCATTACTGATGACAGGTGATGTTTTGGAATCGTGTCAATTTGATCCTGCATTTGTTCAGGAAACCAGTCTTTCTTGTCTGCCCTAACATCATTTGTGGTGCATAGCACTGCACTGTTATCATTTTGACATGGCTGGTATTTAATCGGGCTCGGATCATTCGGATTGAAATAGGTTCCCACTCTAACATACACTTCGCAGCTGTAGGTGACTTCATTATACCTACTGCTTCCATATGTTTCCCATCTTTCCTACCTGAATGAATGCATGTTAAATCGCTGACTATCCTCTTAATTCTTCTAGGCCATCTTACTTCACTCAACCCTGACATATCTAGATAGTATTGGTTCATTTCTTCTGCTACCCGGGCGGATTTTGTTGTTTCTTATATGGATCTGATGTTTCAAAAACTAGTTTTAGTGCTTTTTTTTTTAGAACCAAGCAATGCGAGAGTCGAGTTACTGCCTTCCGCAAAGCGGCTTTCATCAGTAACAGTCATTGATTGAAACACTTATTGCACCTCTTGGCTGTTCTTTTGACCGAAATGGCGTTTTTTCTTCGAGTTTCTGTAGCTATTTAAAAGAAAGTCTACTAGCGAGGTAGCTGATCTCACGCACAAGCCCTCCTCTTTTTTGTATTCAGGTTTACAATGACCCTATTGTAACACATTAATTCAGGTATAAACTGACCCTATTGTAACATATTATTTCAGGTATAACTGACGCTGACATTCTTGTCAAACATTAATTAAAGTATACACTGACTTTGACCTTATTATAACACCGTAATTCATGTATACACTGACGCTGGCCTTACGGTCACACATTCATTCAGGTATACACTGACTATGGACTTATTTTATTACATTCATTCAGGTATACACTGACTATGGACTTATTTTATTACATTCATTCAGGTATACACTGACTATGGACTTATTTTATTACATTCATTCAGGTATACACTGACTATGGACTTATTTTATTACATTCATTCAGGTACACACTGACTATGGACTTTTTTTTATTACATTCATTCAGGTACACACTGACTATGGACTTTTTTTTATTACATTCATTCAGGTATACACTGACTATGGACTTTTTTTATTACATTCATTCAGGTATACACTGACTATGGACTTATTTTATTACATTCATTCAGGTATACACTGTCGCTGGACTACTTATTTTAATAAATTCATTCAGGTATACACTGACTATGGACTTATTTTAATACATTCATTCAGGTATATACTGTCGCTGGACTACTTATTTTAATAAATTCATTCAGGTATACACTGTCGCTGGACTACTTATTTTATTAAATTCATTCATGTATACACTGACCTTACTGTCACACATTAATTCAGGTATACACTGACGCTGGACTTATTGTATGATATTCTATTTACAGTTATCAATGGCGAGGATATCTACATTCCCCCTGTAAACACGTAAGTTCTCGACCCCTGTCTGAAGAAGAGAACTTCTACAGCTTTGGGTGGAGAAAAAATGGCATCATGTGTTGATTCTTTCTGACGCATGAGGCTTAACGCGTATATCATTAATTTGGAACATACTATGCTAATGTACACTGACTTTTTAATTCATACATTCTACAGGTATATGGTGCTGAATTCACTAATTTAGGACACTACCTTGTTTAAAAAAAAAATACTTTTTAAAATACAAATGGCTAATTAGATTATTAGTTGGGGGGCATAGTAAAACAGTTTAAAATTTAAGGCTCACCTTTAATGGAATGTAAAACGCCATAATCTGACTGTGATCTGCAGTTAAATTAGGTTTCTGAGAGTCTCTTTGAGTCACTGGCGGGTTATTCTTTCAGTACGCAGTCCTAGAACAAACCGTTTTCTTTTTTTAAATATCAGGGTAATCAGGAATTCACCCATTTGGGACATTTGATTAATTCTTGCCCCAGTATTACTGTGTTGTTTTTTTAATCAGTGAGCAGGATTTCACATCCGAAATGTGGCTCTTTGATTCACCGCGAGTCAGTCTTTGAGGTCCTGGAGGGCCAAAGGTGACAAAATGTCACTTCTATGTTCAACATTACTATATTTAACCCTTAGATATATGTTGTTAAGCTACCTTTAGAATGGATAGTGTTAGAGGTTCATTTTTACATTTTAAAAAAAATGTATGAAACTTTTACATTAGGGAAGTATGGTGTGAAATTCTTACATTCTAAAAGCTTGGTCTTGGACACTCGCATTATATTATCTACATTTAATTCGTGTAATTATTTTTCCCTAAAGAATAATGTTATCTGCTTTTTTACAATACATATTAGTTCTGTCCTATTAAACATGGTGATAGACTGCTTCATTGTGACTTTTGTCTTTATTTTGTTTTAAGTCGCTTATGTGAAATTACTGAAAGCTACTTGTTCTCATAATTGTTGGAGTGTGTGCATGTGTGTGTGCGCGCGCGCACGCTTGCAGTGTGAGAACAGAATTACACTTCAGTGTTCTGGAAAAAATAAGAGAAATTTGAATTGTTTAATTGTGAATTAGCGCCAAGTATTTGAAGACCTGCATATATATTAAATCTCTATACTCTTCTTATTATTAGGTCTCATGGTCTACCTGCAGGAAAAATTTCTATGTAAGCAGTTTTTGTCTCTATTATCTGTTTTTCTCTCTACATGCCCTAGCCATTGTTGATAGTAGTTAGTGGTGATTTATACAGATTATGAATTTCGTTGCTGCTTATCATTTTTTATTCTCCACCATTTGCATTTTTGTCTGCAAGTTATACAAAAATAAAGGACCCTTTTCAACGCCCTTGGGCATATTGGGTTTTTAGGGACAGAGCTATATTTTGTAGACCAGTCGTCACTCGGTGGATGATGTGATCAAAATCATGTCGGTGGCTTTTGCTTCCCAGGACTTTACTTAATACCAGTTTCAGGCTGGGTTGACCTAGTCTGCATATTGTACATACACATAATTAACAAGGAATAACAGAGACATATCCATGACCACACCAACTAGGAAGTGAAGAAAAGATAACACACCAAATACACACAACAAACACCATAGGTTGCGGTAGCGCTAATCTGCTACAAATAAAGTACAACACTAGTACAAATGTCATCAACACGATCCGCCTTTATTAATTAAACGACATCTGGCGGCGTTTAGGCCTTCGGTTGATAGGCAACATCCTGCAGTTGCGTGGGCCTGTTGTCTTTCTCAACCCAAGAGCGGAAAAACTGGAGCATCAAGTTCCACATAGATTTCACTGAAACAACAAGAATTTTTTTTTTTTTTTTTAACTGCCATGTTTGCCAGAAAATAAGTAAGTAAAGTAAGGTAGCGTATGTCGATTTTTAATTCCTCATTTAGAAGGCTACGTGGTTTCGAAGCATGGTGTCCGCCTTGAGTGCTAGAGGTTTCGGGTTTAATCCCTGATAAAGGCTGGGATTTTTTTCACGTGGACTTTGACTTCTAGTAATTCCTCCCTGGTCTCTGGGTAGTTAGATCGGACGCCCGTATGCATTGTTGCGCACGTTAAAAAAAAATCCTTTGGCAGTAGAAATCGATGTTAGAAGAAGAACGAAGCACTTATGGGCTACTACCCGTGTGTCATGATGTTGATCCGTTGTTCGAACATCAAATTCAACATTCAACATTCCAAATCCTAAATTCCCGTACGTATTTATGACGACTCCGTTAAAATCTGCTAAATTACAGCACTTTTCGTCCTTCTTAGGACGTTATTTTTTTTTATTTGAGGCCCCACTCTGGCTTTTGCCAGGGGCCACAATATAGGCAGGTCATCATTATGGCCAAGTGTCTGAACGCGGTTTCTGGGACCTCTCCACGGTGATCCTCGTCCGCATGGTGGCACTTTGTGTCATCGGGTGTTTGTCGCTTGTGTGATGTCCTGGTGGGGTAAAAGATCCAATCCAAATCTGCTAAATAATCTGAGCTAGAGCTTGTATTTATGGTAGCGGTTATGTTACCATGGAAACCGCCGTGGTTTAGCAGCTAGACGCTCGCCTGCGGATCGGAATGTCCGGGTTCGGTCCCTAACGAGGGCCGGAATTGTTTTTGAAAATGACCTTGGCTTCCAGGTTGACCCAGCTTTGAGTGGGTACCAGGTACGGTCCTGGGAAGTAAAGGCAGCCGTTGTGAGCACATCACCTACCAAGTGCCGTTTGGTCTACAAAATATAGGTCTAGCCCTGTATACCCAATACGCCTGAAAGGCGTGGAAAAGGGTCCTTTATGTTACCACACGGCGTCTGTGGCTTAGACGTGGCGAATGCGCTTCGTAATGCCGGGATCCAGAGTTCAATCCCAGGTGCAGGCGATTTGGCTTGGATAGTTTCGATACTGATCAGTAGGCATTGGCAAACAACAGAACGTAAATCTTAACTAGAAAACCATAACAGCCAAAAACATGCTGGGGTTGGTTGTGCAACGTTCCTGTAAAGGATTAAAAAACTAAATTTTTGTTACAAGCATCCTTCAAAAAAAAAAAAAAAGGATCATAATAGGGCTTATTTTTGGGCTGTTTTATTTCGGGTTTTAAGTCTTATTTTCAGGTTGTCTTTTTCTAAAAGTCAAGTCTTATTTTGGGGTTAGACCCTAGGTCGCATTTTCGAGTGAAATCTTATTTTCTGGTCAAGTCTCATTTTTGGGTGAAGTCTTATTTTCGGGTTTCATGTATTTTTTTTTCTTTTTTTTTCGGGTGAGTCATATTTTCAAGTTAGGTCTTATTTTCGGGCTGTCTTATTTTCGGTCCTATCTTCCAGGAAACACGGTACTGACACCAGTGAAAGCAAGTCACGGTTGCATGGTGGCTTGACGCTTGCTGTCAAACTTAAAGTCCTGGATTCGAATCACAATTGGGGAGATATGTTTATTGTTGACAATGGCTCCCATGTTGACTTAAAGACAAAGTGTTCCTCAACATGTCAAAGTTGTGAAATAACTGCGTACTGAGTTAAGTGAACGTCGTAAGTAGGATGACCATAATATCTTCAACTATTAAATAATTGAGCTTTAAACAAGTTAGTGTACCACTCCCCTTAACCCCCCCCCCCCCCCACCCCCATCCTTCATTTTTTTCGGTAGCCGGTGTGAAAATGTTAATACTCGCTCGACAATTGGTATTACAACTTGACTAACTGTCGCCAAGCAATAAACGAGACAATGCTCTTTAATTGCACTAAAAATATAGATTAGTTGCGTATCCTTTACAAGACGTTGTAAAACCAAACCCAATAGCCCCTGGCCGTTGTGTGGTTTTTTCTAGGCAAATTTTTTACGTCCAGTAGTTTGCCATTGCTCACTGGACGGTCGGCTTTCTTGATACCACTGTCAAAACCAACGCAAGGCGCATGGGACCGAACCCGGCCTCATGGCATTACGAAGCGTTCGCATCGACTTAGCCACAAAGCCGACCTGAAAAATATACTGCAATTAAAATTTATATGAGCATATTCAGTTCAGTTGACGTACCAACGGTAAGACAAGGGCACGCCTAGAGAACGGGAAGTATGGTTACCTACTCGTAACAGCTGTGTAGTTACCAACTATTTAGTCAGCGTTGAGGGAGTTATGGCTAGTAAAAATCCCACAGCAGTATTAAATGTTTGAGGAAACATGAATAGGATATGCAACTAAACACATTTACTTAGTGGTCTCGAGCCACGGCGTCCGCTTTATATGCTAAAGGGTTCAAGCACTGGTGAGTGCTGGGATTTTTTTCAAGTGGACTTCTAGTAATTTCCCCTGGCATCTAGGTAGTAAGATCTGACGCCCGTGTGTATTGGTGCGCACGTAAAAAATTCCTTGGTAGTTGGAAATCGAAAAAGAGTAGCCTAACGGCGCTGCCCGGGCAAAAGTTGGAATTAAAAATCTACCTGAAGTATTTCAGGATCCTCGCTGGCGCAACGAAGTTCGTGCACTGCGCTGAGATTCTTCGGACTCAAGCTTGAGTCAGAAGTAGAGCGGAGCACTTATGGGTTACTTCCCTTATGCCATGATGTTGATCTATCGTCCAAACTCAACAACTATTCAGTCAGCGCGGAGGGATTTATGGATAGTAAAAACCACACAGCCGCATTAAATATTTGGATTGGTTTACGGAAACATGAATAGAACATGCAACTAAACACATTAACTTACAGACGCATCGCTGGATCAGGCATCCATCTTCAACACTGCAAGAAAACAAAGCTTGTATCAGGCAAATGTTGTGGAAAAAGATGAACATCAAAAGTGATGAATTCAAAAGTAATGTCAAATGTTTGGACAATCGCTAGGATCAGACAGAGAAGATGGCGCTATATAGGATACATTCTGTAAAAAAGACGAACATAGAATCACCAGAGAGGCAATAAAATGGGAAACAGCTGGACTAAGGAAACGAGGACGTCCAAGAAAAACTCAAAGGTAAAGGCTGATTTAAAAAAAAAAAAAACAAGGCGCTGAACTTGATGCCGTCTATGATTTCGAAGCTGTTGTTTTCGTCCATCAGTTGTACACCCTGGCGGAAAGACCTGGTTGTTCGTCCATTTCTGGACTTTTGCTGTGTTCATGGACCTTTTTGAGTTTTGCCTGTGCGTCCGTTTTACAGATCGTGCTTATTTTTATGCAGACTGTTGGTTTCTTTGCTCTCAGGCAGATGCACACTGACTTTGAGGAAAGTCTGTTCTCACATTCCCAGAGCGCTCAAGGCGTGTAACTAGACCTTAACTTTACTTAAGTGGCTCCACCGAACCATCCAGAACGGTTTTTTTAAAGTATATGTTTATAATTTTCATATTATTTCAAATATATTATCATATTTATTATATATAATAATTATTATTGTTACTTTTGCACACTTAAACAAGGTTTGAAAGCGCCTTTCTCTTCTCCCTCCCCCTTTCCCCGCCCAGAAAATTATGAGGCCACTGACCGCCCTCCCCCTTCCCTCCAATCTTTAAAAAAAAAAAAAAAAGCCAACATCTATGAGCTACAGAAAATCGTACTTACGAAGTCTCCAAGATGTATTCCTCTTCACAGGTGCCGTTGACTAAAGGAGGACAGTCTGATCGCTGTTGTCCGTCTGTAGTGTTGTTTGTTGAGATTGTTTCATTATTTCTCGGAGCCTGTCCTGGTTCTGTTAAAGCGCAAGAGTATATTACCTTACGGAATGTTATTTTATAGGAATCTGACGCTGATATTTTATAAGTTATTGTTTACCCAGAAATGAAGGCTGTTTCCTTTGTGTGTGTGTGTGTGTGTGTGTGTGTGTGTGTGTGTGTGTGTGTGTGTGTGTGTTTGTGTGTTAGAATACTAAAAAAAAAGCTCGCTAAATAGGGGACTGGCTACCAATATTGAAAGGCATAAGGTGACTACGGGGAGTGGCCGTGGTGTAACGGCTAAACGCTCGCCTGCGGATTGGAAGGTCATGGGTTTAGACCCTAACGTTCACGGGTTCAGACCCTTCATAAACTGTTCAGACCCTAATGACCTTGGCTCCCAGGTCGACCAAGCTTTCATTAGGTACCAGGGACAGTCATGTGAGATAAAAGCTGCCGGTGTGACGCTGACCACATCACCCGCAAAGTGCCGATTGGTTTATAAGAAGAAACTCCACAGGGGAGCATGTACAGCAGGCGTCTATAAATCATCAGTAGAAGTAATCTCTCGTCGACAAATGTTTCGGCCCACGAGCTCCTAGACATTTTTAGAGAGTGGGCCCACCTGAGTTCATGAGGCTCAGGGCTGGTTTCCCCTGCTGCACGTATTACCGGATGTTATCGGACAGGTTTAGCCCAACACGCACGAAGGCATAGAGAAGGGTCCTTTACTTTACTCATAAGGTGACTGCAGTGCTGCTCCGGTGGTGTTTCCTTCATCTGTTCTGTTAATTTGCGCTGGTGCTGTAACCGCACAAAAACATGGCATATAACTAAAACATTATTTTATAAGTAACTGATCCTCCTGTTGTTGTTGTATTGTTTAAAATAGGTAATCAAGCAATTCATCATCGTCATCATCATCATCAATACTCTTTATGCCTAGTGGCACATGACGCTTCAGAGAGGAAGAATGGTTACTAAAAATATTAAAACGCGTATAGCGTTATGAAGAAGATTAAAAAGAAATACATATTACATTAGCGTAAACAGAAACAAGCTGTTTTTTCCCTCCTGATAATACTGTGTCTGGTGACGTACAAACCATGACCTACTTTAGACCTAAAGTAGGTAAGATATAAAATATATCTCAAGCACGTTAAGGCTGATGTTGTAAACAGTAAAACAAATGTAAATAAATCACAGCGTTAAAAGAAGAGCCTATTATACCTGTTGATGAATTATCGGTTGATGAGGTTCCATTCCCTTGAGGAGGTACAACAGCAGAAGAATTCTCCAGTGGTGAGGTTCCGTTACCTGATGAGGTATTGTCAGGTGATGAGGTATCGTTGGCAGAAGGGAGAGGTACTACAGAGGAATTGTCAGGCAGCGAGGTTCCATTACCAGCAGGGAGAAGTACTTCTGTTGATGAATTGTCAGGCAGTGAGGTTTCATTACCAGCAGAAATAGGTACTAGAGATGAATTGTCAGGCAGTGAGGTTTCATTACCAGCAGAAATAGGTACTAGAGATGAATTGTCAGGCAGTGAGGTTTCATTTCCGGCAGGAATAGGTACTACAGATGAATTGTCAGGTAGTGAGGTTTCATTACCAGCAGGAATAGGTACTACAGATGAATTGTCAGGTAGTGAGGTTCCATTTCCAGCAGGGAGAGGTACCACAGATGAATTGTCAGGCAGTGAGGTTTCATTACCAGCAGAAATAGGTACTAGAGATGAATTGTCAGGTAGTGAGGTTTCATTACCAGCAGAAATAGGTACTAAAGATGAATTGTCAGGTAGTGAGGTTCCATTTCCAGCAGGGAGAGGTACCACAGATGAATTGTCAGGCAGTGAGGTTTCATTACCAGCAGAAATAGGTACTAGAGATGAATTGTCAGGTAGTGAGGTTTCATTACCAGCAGAAATAGGTACTAGAGATGAATTGTCAGGCAGTGAGGTTTCATTTCCAGCAGAAATAGGTACTACAGATGAATTGTCAGGTAGTGAGGTTCCATTTCCAGCAGGGAGAGGTACCACAGATGAATTGTCAGGCAGTGAGGTTTCATTACCAGCAGAAATAGGTACTAGAGATGAATTGTCAGGTAGTGAGGTTTCATTACCAGCAGAAATAGGTACTAGAGATGAATTGTCAGGTAGTGAGGTTTCATTACCAGCAGGAATAGGTACTACATAAGAATTGTCAGGTAGTGAGGTTCCATTTCCGGCAGGAAGAGGTACTACAGATGAATTGTCAGGTAGTGAGGTTCCATTTCCGGCAGAAAGAGGTACTACAGATGAATTGTCAGGCAGTGATGTTCCATTTCCGGCAGGAAGAGGTACTACAGATGAATTGTCAGGCAGTGATGTTCCATTTCCGGCAGGAAGAGGTAAAACAGAAGAATTGTCAGGCAGTGAGGTTTCATTGCCAGCAGGAATAGGTACTACAGAAGAATTGTCAGGTAGTGAGGTTTCATTTCCTGCAGGGAAAGGTACTTCAGTTGATGAATTATCAGGCAGTGAGGTTCCATTTCCGGCAGGAAGAGGTACTACAGACGAATTTTCAGGCAGTGAGGTTACATTTCCGGCAGATAGAGGTACTGCAGACGAATTTTCAGGCAGCGAGGTTCCAATACCAGCAGGGAGAGGTACTTCAGTTGATGAATTGTCAGGCAGTGAGGTTCCATTTCCGGCAGGAATAGGTACTAGAGATGAATTGTCAGGCAGTGAGGTTTCATTGCCAGCAGGAATAGGTACTACAGATGAATTGTCAGGCAGTGAGGTTTCATTGCCAGCAGGAATAGGTACTAGAGATGAATTGTCAGGCAGTGAGGTTCCATTTCCGGCAGGAATAGGTACTAGAGATGAATTGTCAGGCAGTGAGGTTCCATTTCCGGCAGGAATAGGTACTACAGATGAATTGTCAGGCTGTGAGGTTTCATTACCAGCACGAATAGGCACTGCAGATGTATTGTCAGGCAGTGAGGTTCCATTTCCGGCAGGAAGAGGTACTACAGATGAATTGTCAGGTAGAAAGGTTCCATTTCCGGGAGGAAGAGGTACTACAGATGAATTGTCAGGTAGAAAGGTTCCATTTCCGGCAGGAAGAGGTACCACAGATGTATTGTCAGGCAGTGAGGTTCCATTTCCGGCAGGAAGAGGTACTACAGATGAATTGTCAGGTAGAAAGGTTCCATTTCCGGGAGGAAGAGGTACTACAGATGAATTGTCAGGTAGAAAGGTTCCATTTCCGGCAGGAAGAGGTACTGCAGACGAATTGTCAGGCAGTGAGGTTTCATTACCAGCAGCGAAAGGTACTGCAGATGAATTGTCAGCCAGTGAGGTTCCATTTCCAGCAGGGAGAGGTACCACAGATGAATTGTCAGGCAGCGAGGTTCCATTTCCGGCAGGGATAGATACTACAGATGAATTGTCAGGCAGCGAGGTTCCATTACCAGCAGGAATAGATACTACAGATGAATTGTCAGGCAGTGAGATTTCATTACCAGCAGGAATAGGTACTACAGATGAATTGTCAGGCAGTGAGGTTTCATTTCCTGCAGGGAAAGGTACTTCAGTTGATGAATTATCAGGCAGTGAGGTTCCATTTCCGGCAGGAAGAGGTACTACTGACGAATTTTCAGGCAGTGAGGTTCCATTTCCGGCAGATAGAGGTACTGCAGACGAATTTTCAGGCAGCGAGGTTCCATTACCAGCAGGGAGAGGTACTTCAGTTGATGAATTGTCAGGCAGTGAGGTTCCATTTCCGGCAGGAATAGGTACTACAGATGAATTGTCAGGCAGTGAGGTTCCATTTCCGGTAGAAATAGGTACTACAGATGAATTGTCAGGTAGTGAGATTTCATTACCAGCAGGAATAGTTACTACAGATGACTTGTCAGGTAGTGAGGTTTCATTACCAGCAAGAATAGGTACTGCAGATGAATTGTCAGGCAGTGAGGTTCCATTTACGGCAGAAATAGGTACTGCAGATGAATTGTCAAGCAGTGATGTTCCATTACTAGCAGGGAGAGGTACTACAGATGAATTGTCAGGCAGTGAGGTTTCATTACCAGCAGGAAGAGGTGCTACAGATGAATTGTCAGGCAGTGAGGTTTCATTACCAGCAGAAATAGGCACTGCAGATGTATTGTCAGGCAGTGAGGTTCCATTTCCGGCAGGAAGAGGTACTACAGATAAATTGTCAGATAGTGAGGTTCCATTTCCGGCAGGAAGAGGTACTACAGATGAATTGTCAGGTAGTGAGGTTCCATTTCCGGCAGGAAGAGGTACTAAAGATGTATTGTCAGGCAGTGAGGTTCCATTTCCGGCAGGGAGAGGTACTGCAGACGAATTGTCAGGCAGTGAGGTTCCATTTCCGGGAGGAAGAGGTACTGCAGACGAATTATCAGGCAGTGAGGTTCCATTTCCGGCAGGAATAGGTACTACAGATGAATTGTCAGGTAGTGAGGTTTCATTAGCAGCAGGAAGAGGTGCTTTAGAGGAATTGTCAGGCAGTGAGGTTCCGTTTCCGGCAAGAAGAGGTACTGCAGATGAATTGTCAGGCAGTGAGGTTCCATTTCCAGCAGGAATAGGCACTGCAGATGAATTGTCAGGCAGTGAGGTTCCATTTTCGGCAGGAAGAGGTACTACAGATGAATTGTCAGGCAGTGAGGTTCCATTTCCAGCAGGAATAGGCACTGCAGATGAATTGTCAGGCTGTGAGGTTTCATTACCAGCAGCGAAAGGTACTGCAGATGAATTGTCAGCCAGTGAGGTTCCATTTCCTGCAGGGAGAGGTACCACAGATGAATTGTCAGGCAGCGAGGTTCCATTTCCGGCAGGGAGAGGTACCACAGATGAATTGTCAGGCAGTGAGGTTTCATTACCAGCAGAAATAGGCAGTGCAGATGCATTATCAGGCAGGGAGGTTTCAATACCAGCAGGGATAGGTACTACAGATGAATTGTCAGGCTGGGAGGTTTCATTACCAGCAGCAATAGGTACTGCAGGCGAATTGTCAGGCTGTGAGGCTCCATT